TGAGGTCGACAAGAAGAGGATCAAAAACGGCATCATGGACTACCGGAAAACCCGGAAAGATGACAGCCCTTCGAATTCACGAAACATCTTAGAAGTTTAACCAACCACTTGAAAAGGACGAAAGAATAAGGGTCCAAGCAGGAATCCACAGCTACGTTATCGAGGAGAAAAAACGCGAGCTCCACCGTTTTCCAAGATTTTCTGGAAACTCTCCTAGAAGGTTGGATGAGGTCGACAAGAAGAGGATCAAAACGGCATCATAGACTACCGGAAAACCCGGAAAGATGACAGCCTCTTCGAATTCATGAAACATCTTAGAAGTTTAACCAACCACATTGAAAGAAGGACGAAAGAATAGGGTCCAAGCAGGAATCCACAGCTACGTCGAGGAGGAAAAACGCGAGCTCCAGGACAAGGAGCAACTTGACCACCGTTCCAAGATTTTCTGGAAACTCTCCTAGAAGGGTTGGATGAGGTCGACAAGAAGAGGATCAAAAACGGCATCATAGACACTACCGGAAAACCCGGAAAGATGACAGCCTCTTCGAATCACGAAACATCTTAGAAATTTAATCAACCACTTGAAAGAGGACGAAAGAATAAGGGTCATAAGGAATCCTCCATTATGTTGTCGCCAAGAGCCGAGAAGGACCCAGAAGTCACCCTCGAGCCCGAGAGGAGACCCAGGAAGTCGCCCAAGGCTCGAGTAGGAATCTCCTCGAAGAGCTCGAAAAGGAGGAAACCCGTCGAATGCGCCCGAGAGCCCGAGAAGAGACCAGGAAGTCCCCCAATGGTTTCGAGCTCGAGTAGGAATTCCTCGAAGAGCTCGAAAAAGGGGAACCCGTCGAATGCGCCCGAGAGCTCGAAAAGGAGGAACCCGTCGAATGCGCCGAGAGCCCGAGAAGGAGACCCAGGAAGTCCCCAATGGTTCGAGCTCGAGTAGGATTCTCGAAGAGCTCGAAAAGGAGGAACCCGTCGAATGCGCCGAGAGGCGAATACGAAGCACGAATGAGGAGATCCGCAATGCCCGAGAGCTCGAAAAGGAGGAATCCGTCGAATGCGCCCGAGAGCTCGAAAAGGAGGAACCCGTCGAATGCGCCCGAGAGCCGAAAAGGAGAACCCGTCGAATTGCGCCCGAGAGCTCGAAAAAGGAGAACCCGTCGAATGCGCCGAGAGCTCGAAAAAGGAGGAACCCGTCGAATGCGCCCGAGAGCCCGAAAGGAGACCCAGGAAGTCCCCAATGGTTCGAGCTCGAGTAGGAATTCCGAGAGCTCGAAAAGGAGGAACCCGTCGAATGCGCCCGAGAGCTCGAAAAGGAGGAACCCGTCGAATGCGCCGAGAGCTCGAAAAGGAGGAACCGTCGAATGCGCCCGAGAGCTCGAAAAGGAGGAACCGTCGAATGCGCCCGAGAGCTCGAAAAGAGGAATCCGTCGAATGCGCCCGAGAGCTCGAAAAGGAGGAATCCGTCGAATGCGCCCGAGAGCTCGAAAAGGAGGAATCCGTCGAATGCGCCCGAGAGCTCGAAAAGGAGGAACCCGTCGAATGCGCCCGAGAGCTCGAAAAGGAGGAACCCGTCGAATGCGCCCAGAGCTCGAAAAGGAGAACCCGTCGAATGCGCCCGAGCTCGAAAGAGGAAACCCGTCGAATGCGCCCGAGAGCTCGAAAAGGAGGAACCCGTCGAATGCGCCCGAGAGCTCGAAAAGGAGGAAACCCGTCGAATGCGCCCGAAGCTCGAAAAGGAGGAACCGCGTCGAATGCGCCCGAGAGCTCGAAAAGGAGGAACCCGTCGAATGCGCCCGAGAGCCCGAGAAGGAGACCCAGGAAGTCCCCCTGGTTCGAGTCGAGTAGGAATTCCTCGAAGAGCTCGAAAAGGAGGAACCCGTCGAATGCGCCCGAGAGCTCGAAAAGGAGAACCCGAATGCGCCCGAGAGAGCTCGAAAAGAGGA